ACGAAATGGCTTCTAAAACAACTGATGTAACCTTAGGCTGTATGCATGCATACGTATATTCATTCATTCAACAGTTTTATTAGGAGCACATTATGTTTCAAGCACACTAGAAGTTTAACATATTTACCAACACAGTAATCTTAAGAAAGTAATTAACACTCTAAGTCTGCTTCCCCACCTAGAAAAGGAAGACAATAATAAAGCTAATGTATAAGGATTCTGTGAGGATTAAATGATATGATATATATAAAACCCCTAACATAGCACTTGAATAAAAACAACAGCTATGATCTTTGCTATTATTATTTGCTCACTTGTCAAATAAACTGTAGAAGAGATTAATGTCTTGGGTGGAGGCTGAACTAGATGATTTTACCTCTTATAACAAAATTCTAAGCAAAATGAGGAATAAAATCGTTTAGACTTGCTACACAATGTTTTACCTAAATTAGGTTAAATTACTAAAATATATATTTTCAAATCTTTGGAGAGAACAACTTAAAGTGATTTAAATATGTGTGAAAAAAATTAAAAAGAAGTAACTCTTTTAAAATTTAGTTAAGTTGGGACCACTGACAAAGATTTCTAAACTGCAGTTTTTACAAAATGTCATTTTTGTACTGTCTATTTGCACAGCACCACTATATAGATAGTTTAAAACAGTGTTATAATGAAGGAGTTAGGATGCTTTTAGATGCAAAAACACCAGAAAACTCAAAATTTTAAAATGGCTTTAATAATAAGAACATTTATTATACCACGTAAGAAGCCTAGAAGTAGGATAATTCAGAAGCTTCAAAAGTCCTCAAGCACCTAATTTCTTTCTGCTTTACTATCTTCAACAGAGTTTTGTCCTCAAACTTGCTGCCTACTAGACATAGTTCCAGATACAACAGACACAAGACCAGTGGAAGCGGGAGGACTATTTCTTTCCATGTATATCTTTATAACAGTAGAAAAATCTTTTTCAGCAATTTCCATATTCCAAACAGGCTTTCTTTCCCTCAAGTCTTCTCAGCCAAAACTGTTGGATATATCTACTGTTCATCATTAATCAAACACTGACAAGAATGAAATTGCCCCCATTAGATTCTTTATCATTCACCACCTGTGCTGAGGCTTTCCTATCCTCAAACACAGAGGAAGGCAAACTGAATCAGGTTCTGTCAGAAAAAAAAAAGAGGTAGAGAAATGTGATTAAAAGATTGAAATAAACATTCTCAGACTAAAAAGAGAAATGGAAAAGGTTTTGTTGCAATCAAAAGTTAAAAAACAAATCAATAAAAGTAAGTCAAAAAACAAAAAAATCAATAAGACTGATTATGTCTGATTTTGTACCATATAGTTCATACTTCCTGAATAGTCTATGCCAACTCATTTTCATGTCTTATCATTCTCTAAATACTTCCTACCTTATTTTCTTAGACTGTAAACTTGAGAATTAGAAACCTAACTTTTTACATTTTCAGTGTTAATATAAGAAACAACAAACACCATCACTTACGAAAAGCTAACATATATTTTTTTCCTGTAATAATTTCCCTTCTCATTAAACCTGGCAAATTGAACACATTCATCTCTACTCTTTTCTAAAACCCAACTAAAATAACAGTAAAGAACTTTCAAAGGTATAAATTCACAAGAATGAGAATACAATTAAAGAAACCAGTTGACAAAAAATTTTAACAGAATTTTGGAAGCTGAAAAGAGAAAGAGTATGAACATGTAATAATTGACTTAGCTGACCACAGAAAGCTGAAAGCTAAGGCTGCAGAAGGGGTGGATAGTGGGACAAAGTGGCAATAAGAAGCAAGCCAACAAACATAGCACCACTCCAAAAAGACTCAGTAACCAGAGGTACCACCTACCAGGTAACCGGGTGGATGTGGGGCCAAAAGCAGAAGGGCTGGTTAAAAGTTTATGTAAGGAACAGGTAGTCTCTCAGATGCCCTCTCCATAAGCCCAGGCAACTGCACTGCCACTATCACCACAGAAGAACACACTCCAAAAGATTATCTGGTGGTTCTCATTAAAATAGATCCTCACCTGTCCACCCCTGCAGGTAACAAGGCCCCTACTACTACCCTGCTACACACACACACACACACACACACACCCCTTCCAATTAGTACTTGTAAATATTAACAGCTAACCAAGTAAAGCCTATAAGTCTGTAAGCTACCACCAAAGGAGGAACAAAAAAAAGGAAGAAAGGGAGAAAGAACAGAGGAGGGAGAGAGGTAAAGAGAGAGAAAAGAAGAAAGAAAAAAGGTAAACAGAAAAGAGACAAGGAAGCAAAAGAAAACTTAAAAAATAATAATAATTTCACCATAGAGAGATGATATGATACTGCATCCATGAAACACGAGCCGTCTCTTTAAAAAAAAAAGAGAGAGAGGAGATTTGAGAGAAAAAAGAACATAGAAATAATATGATTCTGGTTATTTCATTTTAACTGAAATGTGGATGTGAGAGCTGGAGCCAGAGCTGCCATTTTACATGCAAGATAGAAATAAGAGGATTGGACAGCAAGTTTTTAAAAAGCCTGGGTCTTTAATGACTGTTGAGCTGCCTAGACCATCTCCATAAGTATAAGAGATTAAAAATGAAAACAAAAACAAAAAACCTCTGTCATATTTCATACACTATATTGGGGTTTTCTTCCACTTGCACTTCCAACTATATACTAATACAGTACATGCTACAAAATAAGTTTTCCCTCAAGCCCCTACAATATGAAACAAAGAAAATTACCTTCCAACTTCACTAACTTATTGTTCCTACTAACTATGTTGAAGTCTATCTTACATTAGCCAAGAAAGCTGAATACTAACACTTCAAATTTCAGGATTACATTCTAATCAAGTCTATCTTGTGTAATAAAACGTAATGCTGAAGGACCTATGGAATACAGTCCCAGGTGTCCACAGCACACTACTCTCATTGTTTTCGGATGTTGCAGAATCACTCCACTAAGGCTTACTTTCAATTTCCCTTCAGTCTGACTTTCTTCTTTTAAATTCACATTGGATGACTGATGGCTAACATAATAAATATTTTATCTTTCTACACCCTTCCCCCAGGAAGAATATGACTTTTTTGAAAATGAGGCACCATTAGACACCTGGAGTCCAAAATTAATTCTTAACTCTTTTGTCCACAGTGAACACTACCGCTTTTAAATGCTTTTACATTGCCATACCTAGCTATTAAAACATGTTATTCAATTTTATATAGATAAAAGTCACTTTCATAACTAAACTAGAAATACTAGAGACAGCAGAATGACCAAGAATATGAGATAAAACATAGATAAGTATGAGTTTTAACTGCTTAGCTTCAGACACCATCACTTATATAGTAAATTACAATTATGCTAATATTGTCTAACATTTTCACAATAAGTAAAAATTTCACAAAATGCTGAAGGAAAACTGTTCTCCTAAAGAAATACCAATGTAACTCTAGAATAATTTTCTTATGAAATCTGGCACAACTAACCAAATCAGTAATAGACCCATTCCTATCCTCACCTACCTTTCTCTTAGGGTTTTGACTTTTCCACTTATGACTGATTGGGTGGTACATGTGGCTATGCTCTTAGAATAATGATAGCAGGCACTTTCATGTAGAATTAATATAAGAAAAAGGAAATCTAAAACATGCCAAACCTCAAAGGTAAAACAGGACAAAGAAGGGAAGAAATGGTCTCAGTAGACCACAGTCTACCTATTTCTGCCTTTCAAAATCAATTCTGCCAATTCTTGTCATCTTTGTAACTGAGTACTTCAAAATGAGCTCAGGACTTTGACACACATACCTTATCAAACCTCCCACCCAGATATGATCAATCAAAAGTAAACAACTCTATTTCTATATTGTTAGAGTGCTAAAAGAACTAGCCCTCCTCATTAATCAAAGCATGGAATCCTTTAATTTGTTTCTGCTTATAACCAGAATAACCAGTTTACCAGACAACGCCCCCATCCTTATATGTTATAGTTGTTATTGCTTATGGATAAAGAAAACAGAAATTAAAGTATGACAAAATATTATTTTCATCAAAATATTCTTGGCACTTATATTCCATACTTTTTAAAAATACTTAAATACTAGGAAGACATGGTATCTATGAAAGAAAAAAGTTAACATTATTACTTGTATAAGGTAGTCATTAGAGGGTGATAAATATTGTTTACATTAAAAGGCTTAATAACCACTTCTATTATCCTCCTCAAAAAAAAAAAAAAAAAATCAGTGGAGGGCCACACAGCTTAAAATTTATACTGGGGGAGGTCTTTTTGAAAAACCAAATACCACTGAACTGTCCCACATCGAATAAGATATATAACTTATCAAAATCAATGCATCAACTCAGTAAATCTGATGTTTTCATAAATGCATTTCATAAATCCCGCAACCATTCCACCAGACCCTGGCCAGTCCAGGTTCTATGCAACCTTTGCCATAATCCCCGAGACTACTTCTTCCCTCCACCTATTTCCTAAACTGATCTCTAGGCAATACTTCTCAATTTGGGACTTTCCTCAAAGAGAAGAAATGAAGTTGGGAAATTCCCTCATATCACACAACAATTTGCCTTTTTAATCTACATGCACCTGAAGAGGATAGGAGTTACTGACAGACATACACTCAGGTTCAAAAAACTTGTCATGGGGTGAATGAAATTAAAGTAAGCCCCTTAGCCACCTGATGGTGCATTATCAAACAGTTTGCATTTTAATTATTAACTGCCTAATATGTCAGCAACCAAAAAAAAATGCAGACCAATTTCTTATATATCCCTAGCTAAAAAAGAAATCGAGAGGTATATTTTCAGAACAGAAAAAACAGATGAAAAAATGAATAATATTGCTAAATCAACAAGAACTAGATGTTTTAGCAAAGATTCTAATATTCTGAATTCAACTAAAATGTACAACAAATATAAATTGGAATATGTAACTGTTTTTTTTGTGGTAGAAAATGGAAAAACTCACCTTCTCAATATTTATCTGGTGCTTTCTTAACCTCTCCAAGTCTGTTGGAATTACTATTTTAATGAATTTCTGGATAGCTGGTTCAAAACGGCGTAATTTCACTTTTTCTTCATCTTCAGACATCCTAAAAAAATGTTATGTCACTTCTACTTGCAACAACTGTCTTCTCTTCTCATCCAGAAAAACCTAAAAGGAAAATATTTATTTAAGAATGTTTTTAAAAGAGTCTTATTGTTTTCAAAAGCCAACTGTTAGGTAATTTTGTAATTTATTCTAAATATGCATTCAACTTAATGCTGAACTTAAGTGACCTTTTAAAGAAACCTTTTATTTTAAAACCTTTTTTTCCCCCTCTACAAAAGAAATGTATATTCACTTTAGAATGTTTAGAAAATATGAAAAAGAGAATAAAATCAACAATCATCTGCTCACCCATAGTTAACTACTCTTTTTTTCCTCCCTCCCACCCCCTACTCTTTCCATTTTGATGTATGTCTTTCCAGATCATTTTTTATATAAGAATGTATATATGTAAATACCTTTTTTAAAAAAACTAGAAGTGTACTGCCCAAGTTTTCATTTTCCAATGTATGTATCTTGGATACTGAATAGCCTTTTCGAAAAAGGTGTCACACAGCAAAACTGGAAGAAAAAATTTCATTCTTAACATTTCTGCTTGTATCAAACTTCATTTCTAATGTCACCATAATGTATCTGTCTGATTATATACTTTAAACGTAACATAGTATGCAACTCTTCTCATTAGTGTCCTTTAAATAACCTCCTCCCTTTCTTACAAAGTGATTAGATTTTCTACAACCAAAACAAATAACCAGTGACACAGCTAGAATAAGATTCCAGGATTCCTTAGAGCACAATCGAATGCTCTAATTTACCAGTAGGTTTCTACCAGTGTTCTAGAAAGTCCAAAGGTATGCCTTTGGGGCCAGGGTAGGAGAGGGTAGGAGTTGGCAAGTGAGTAGGCTCCAGGACCGCATACCTGCTCCAAATAGAGAAAATTTACTTATATCTATTTCATAAATTTGAGTTTTCAAGATTTTATATAAAGGGCTCCACTGCTTAACCAAGCTTGAAAACCACCGTTTGTGCACCATGGTTTCATATCATCTTATTAGCCACGACCTCTTCCATATTTAAAAAAAAATTAACTTCCCGGATAGTACTTGGATGGGAGACCACCTAGGAAGACCGGGTGCTATAGGTATACACAAACAAGCAAACAAACAAATAAATAACTTGACCATGTTAACTTCATTGGGTTGATGTCTTAGACCAAGGTCTGTAGAGATAGGTGTTCACAAAAAGACTTTAAAGAGTCACTGAATCTTTATGAAAAATTGTGAATGTATTTTTGAGTTATTTTGGAGGACAGAGCCCATTGCTTTCATCAAATTATCAGAGATTTATCACTCCAGAAATATTAAGAACTATTACTCTAAGTAATGTTCCGTTTCTCTCCTTTCTTTCACAGTTAACAATCTCGAAGTGCTGATTATATAGACTATCTCATCTACTTATAATCTAGGTTTTATGTCTGATCTAAGCTCAACGGCAAAAAAGGAAAATCTCCAGACACTAAAAACAGAGCCCTACAGCTACAGATATAAGTGGGAATTGGACATACATGGAGAAGCAAATTGCCAAAAGAGTTAGTTCTCAGACCCAACAGAACAGGAACATTCTTGAGAGACAAGAGAGAATAATCTAAAAAAAAAAAAAAAAAAATCAAAATAAGTACATTTTAAAATATTCAAAGATATAAAGAAAGGAATAGATCTTTTTTTAAATTAGGTAATTTTATAAAACAGTAACAGGCCAATATAAAAATGAACCAAATAAAATTTCTACCTAAAAAACTCTACTCAAAAACCTCAAAAGATGAGTTAAACAGTAAACTCTGTAGCTGAAGAGAGAATTACTGATTGGAAGATATTGGTCAGAACATAGAAGACAAAAGAGATACTTAATATAAAAAGAAGATAAGAGACATAAAGGATAAAATGAGAAGCTAAACAACAAATAAGAGTCCCATAAGGAAAAAATAAAGTGGTGAAAAGGCATTATTCAAAGAGAATATGCTGAGAATTAAGATGTAGGACCTCAAATTGAAACTGCACATAAGCTCCAAGTAGCATAAGAAAAAAAAATTACCCGAATACATGGAAGGAAAATTGCAGAACATGAAGGACAAAGACAAAATCTTAAAAAGCAAATCAGAGATAAAAGACACTTAAAACTAAAACAACAAAAGCAGCAATCTTTACATCAAAGCAAGATATCAGGAGACAGGAATATCTTCAAAGTGTTGAGGGAGATGGTCTACTGAAGGAAATTATTATTCAGAAGTGAAGGAAAAATAATAATTTTCAGACATATGAAGACTAAGTTTAATATCAAGCCCTTCATTAAAAGAACTACTAAAAATGAATACTTTAGCAATAAAGAAAATAAACCCAAAAGTGGGGAATGGCAAGGAACAATGAATAAAGTACAGTTACTGAATGAATAAATGAAAAAGATTTATTTTTAATAATTTGATTAAGTATAGTAAAAATGTTTCCATTTATTTTTCTATAGTGCATCTTTTTATAATATACACATAGTATTACATTACATAGATGGTCCATAATGTAATCATCTATTGTTGGCCATTTAGGTTGTTTTTAATTGTCCACCATTATAAGCAATGCCACAGTGTAAATAACCTCCTTACACACAAATCTATATTACTATCTGTAATTATTTCTTTAAATACCTGGATATATCAAAATGTTTTTAAACATACCTGGTGCTCAACTGATGCTGATGGGACTAAAATGTTTCTTCACATGCCCCTGCTTCACCATTTGTAATCCTATCACTCTAGTCAAACACCACAATATGCATAGCACATTGAGTGTCTTAACTAGCCTGCCTTT